ATTTTATCTCCAAAAATTTATTGCTGGCAATATTTTTTTCCTTCAAAAATGTATTGCTGGTAATATTTTTTCTTCAAAGATTTATTGCTGGTAATAATTTTTCCTTAAACATGTATTGCTTGTATTAAAACCTTTTTTACTCATTCATAAGACCTTGCTGCCGGATGTAGTTTATCGTCATACCCAAGACACTTGCATCTAATCCGGTAATTTCACTGTTTAAAATTATCTACTGAGACGCCCGCATCTATTAGAAATATGTTTCATGGTTACTAGAACCATCTTGGTAATCTTTTTGTTCTTCGGAAATTGTGTAATATTTTGTTTTTTGTGTTTTCACAAATAACTCTTGAATTTGGGTTGGAATAACAGGTTTTAATAGCGTTTCGGGAGCCGATTACAATACTTCATTGGTAACTAATCATTATAATTTGTTGATAAAGCAATACGGCCCTAAATTTATTTTCCGAATTTGCGCGTTTTTTTTTACTTTCTGTTAGTTGTTTAGTTCGAAAATAAACGTTCTGATGTTTATTATTCTTATTAAAAGAAAAAAAAAAACAGAAAGAAAAACAAAATGGCTCTCAGCCAGAAATCGTTCAGTTCCCTTGAGTGAAGATAACACGAGTGTGTTTACGTATATAGAAGCAAATAATTTAGGGTTGGATTGCCGGAAACATTTTCCTTTGTCCAGTTCTTTTTGCGTGTCGTTTTACTGTCAGATAAATAAATCTACGAGATATTTATAACGGAACTGCCGTCTTGTCCGGATTCATCTGAATAGCAACCAGGAGGTCGGCGGGACACATCAGTCCTCTTTCTTTGCCTGAATGTCTAAGTTAAAAAGGATTATGCAGCCTAATTGCTATCCTCACTTGCTTCTTCCAAGCTCTTCATCTCGGCCGGCAGGATCTCCGGCCTTCCGTTTACTGTTTTAAATTTTTCAGAGGAATTTTTTTTTTACAGTAAGGTTCATACTGGGGAGCACTCGATGTAGAGAGTTACGTTAGATTTTAGTGATTGGGGAATCATCCTCTTGGGAGTCTGTTCCACTGAGCAGTAGTTCGCGGTCAGAAGCTGTTCAAGTGGAACTTCACGCCGATGGAATACGGGGGGAGTGTGGGTGGATTGCTACTATGTAAGTGTTGAAACTTGACTAATGCATGGAATAATAATACAACACAAAATGTACTTAGAACAAAATGTATTGAAACAAGAAAGTGTACACAATATTTACATATAGTCTTTTGTATATTCCTGGTAAGACCGTTCCTGGAGAATGTGTTGACTGAGTCGCAGTCGGGCAGAGTCTCTGGTTGAATCTCTTGATTCCTTCCTCTCTTCCCGGTACCAACCATATTTATATGGTCGGTACTCCACTATGCAAATTAGGTGGATCCTACCACAATAGTAAGAGACGTGGATGGTGCTAGCCCTGAAGGTTAGAAATGGCGAAACCAAGGAATGTATTTCGTCCGAGAACTTTCCATGGTAAACTCTTTATTTAAGGAATATTCAAAGACTATTATAACGTTCATCTTTATCTCGACAGTAATTTGGGAACAAAGTCATTGATTGGTATATTTAGAAATGTGTGACCGACCGCCTTTCTAAACGCCATAAAATGTATTAAATCAATTCTTGGCTTGATCGGACGGAAGGCGAAATATATTGAAAAGGCTGTGAAAATTCGCATAGGTGAAGCCTGGACCGCTTTGGATAAAATTATGATCTGGAGATCAGACTTTCCAGACAACCTTAAACGGAGATTATTTCGCGTTACTCTAGAGGCTGTTTTAATGTATGTCATCATTGCTTGGATATCAATTAAAATCCTAGAGTCTCAGTTTGATGAAACCTACAGTGCTGAGAGTTATGCTTACCATCTTTTGGAGATAATACCCAATTAAAGCACAGCTCTATGGGCCCATCTCTGATAATTTTACATTTTAGCGCAAACGCAGAATATGCTTTGCAGGATACTGCTAGCGATCAAAACAAGTACTTGCGAGTGATCTACTGCTCTGAGTAGCTATCCATGGCACAAGACGGGTTTTTCACCCAGCAATCATCTACAATGACACAGAATCGCACCCTAGGGACCATCTGTTGTAGGGAAAAATAACCGACATTCGCTCCAATGACGGATTGAACATGGCGTCTTTCATTAATTACTAGCAGTAGAGCCCGGCATTGCCCGGGGATGTAACAGTAAGAGATAGATCAAGTATCAACCATCATAAAAACTGAAAAATAAAATTGACAAAGATTATTGTTTAAGGTTGACGGACACGCATGTCTTAATTTTTTTTTTTATTTTTTTTTTACGAATTGGTCAAACCCAAACAAAAACATTGTTTTCAATCGTTATGAGTCTATTGATTGAATAGAATTTTATTATAAACAATTGTCTTGTAAATGGAATATTTAAAGCATTCTGAATGTAAAAATAAAGAAAAAAGTGTGCAAGACAATAAGAAACACTACCTGCCAAAAACAAGTGAAGTTTTGTTGAAATCGGTTGAAAAATGTAGGAAATCTGATCCCATATATAAATGAACACACACACACAAACAATCTGGGTTTTATAATAAGTATAACTCGATATGAGTTGTCCCCCTTTCATTCTGGCGACAGGATCGTGTTTTCAAATTGATTTCGTGCAAAAACAATTGTGTTTTTCCAATTTTTGGTGCAGTCAGAACCACTACAAAATAATTTTATGCAGTCCTGTGAAGTTTTATTGAAATCGGTTGAAAAATGTAGGAAATCCGATCCAATATATAAACGTACAGACACACACACAATCTGCGTTTTATAATAAGTAAGATGAATGGAATCAAAGTAGTCGCAAAAGTATGTCGCTACGATATTCGCTAGAATTGTAATATTAATCCACGTGACTAAACAGTTCCCTTCAATAGTCTTGTGTTCCTGTAATTTCCTTTGGAATATTATTAACCCGAACAACGAATTGATACCAGCATCTTGATGCGGGACCGTGATCGTTGGGGTGATAGACTCATGAATATCCGAGTCAGCTCGACCGAATCTATATTTATAAAACAGAGGATGTTTGTGTGTATGTGTGTGTGTCAGTCAGTCCTGTGTGATACTTTTTCAATCGAGATTTCTCCAACAGATTTTGACAAACTTGGCGCATATATTGTACAATGTAAGAAGTTCTTAGTGTAAAAAAACGATACTTTCTGAAAAAAAACAAAAAACAAAAAAACAATAATCCATAAAGCCGATCAAAAATCGATAAATTCAACTTTTTCCCCCGATTCCTTTAAACTCGGTATGTTGGTTACTTACATCCTGATGAGCTCAACGGTATCTAATTTTTATTGTCTTTAGCGAAAAGCCACACCCATCTTAAGCATATACCCACATGAAACAGGAAAAGAAAAATCATCTGGTATACCCCTCCGTTCAACCAAATGTTTAGTACTAAGCTAGGACATAAATTCCTAGCTTTAATCGAAAAATACTTCCCTACTAAAAGCAGACTTAGCGAGATCTTTAATAAAAACACCTTAAAATTAAGTTACAGTTGCACTGAAAATCTAGAAAGAATCATAAAAAAACATAATAATAAAATCCTGGAAACACACGCGCGCCAAAACAGTATTGATAAAAATGCTAAACTAAAATCAGACAAAAATAATGAAAAATTATGTGATTGTAGAAACCCTGAAGACTGCCAGTTGGAAAATAAATGCCTCATAAAATCCGTAGTATACCAATGCACTGTCTCATCCAAACACCGATAGGATATGCATTGTGTCAACGAAGAATGAATTTAAAATTAGGTGGAGGCAGCACAATAGCTCCTTCAGTAATATTAAAAGTAGAAATAAGACATCTCTATCCAAACATTTTTGGCATTTAAAAGAAATGAATAAAACACCAAAAGTAAAATGGAATATAGTAAATAGAACAAGACCTTGTAAAACCTGGGATGACCCATGCCCTTTATGCCGACATGAAAAACTACACATAATTAAGTTTCTAAATAATGAAAATTTATTAAACCATAAGCAGGAGTTAACGGTTTCTGGCCGACATCAACAAAATTTCGCATTAAATAATTAGCATAAAAAAATCAAACTTCATAGTTTAATAAAAGGCTAAAAAGCTTAACCCAATCATTAAAGGGAAAAACCCCTTATGAAGTCGTCAGAAAAACAAATTGTAGTTCAGTGCGACTCATTTATATATGAAATAGCCCGTTGAAAATAAATAAATAAATAAAATAAAATAAAACAAAATTATCCAGACACTTAACAACATACTATGGTGCCAAAATCTATCTTTCTCTGTGAATGAACAGACGATGCGCGTACAAGAAACTTCAAAATTGGTTATTTTTAAATTTTTGCTTGAGGATGAAACAGGACTTGTTACTTTAATTCAATTTAATTTTAATAATTATATTGATGGTTTCGGCTCTCGTTTTTGAAACATGAGAACTCTTAAGTAACGAAGGAATCATATTTCAAAAATATAATTATAATATATATATATATATATATATATATATATGTGTGTGTGTGTGTGTGTGTGTGTGTGTGTGTGTGTGTGTACCAAGTGTAACAGCGAAATTGTCCAAAGCGTGTAACAGCAAAATTGTTCAATTGTTAAATTAAGAAATTAGAAATGCTTAATAACATCTTACTGAATTCCCAGGGTTTCATAACACTATTTGACACTACTTTGAGCAAAAAAAAGAATGTATAGTTACTCTCCAAATTTAACAGAAGAATTGTGATGAAATCGATCATAAAGGAAGATGACATTTTCATCATTAATTATTCATAGCTAAGGATCAGAAGCTCATGAAGCATTGAAATAAATTTCAAATATATATATGTATATTATTCCAGGATCATTTCCCAACATATTCAAGATAATCTTCGTCATCTGGGACCATCTATTCTTGTATTTTAGGATTTTCAGTTTATCTTCCAAACATAGATTGAAATCAAGCATAAGAAATGGAATATGGAATAATATCTATCTATCTATCTATCTATCTATCTATCTATCTATCTATCTATCTATCTATCTATCTCAGTCTGATGATTATCTATCTATCTATATCTATCTATCTATCTATCTATCTATCTATCTATCTATATTTATCTCTCTCTCTCTCTCTATATATATATATATATATATATATATATATATATATTGTAGAGGACCGGGGGTGAAGAGGAAAAGAAAACACGTGCGTTTATATTTCCTGGTAGAAGAAGGTCTAGGCACAAGTAAATGTCGAACTTGAATTAAGTCCAATTGAAGATAAAGAAGACAAGCAAGACCGATGATATATATATATATATATATATATATATATATATATATATATATATATATAAACAAATATATGTATTAACAACAAATTACAATGGATAGACAGTTAACATTTGGTTTTGTGTGTGTGCACATTTGTATTTGTTCTTTGGTGAATGTTCGTATTTTGGTGAATGTTCGTACGTAGGTGTATGTTTGTAATGTTCATAGCGTCTTCCCAGAAATGGGAAACGAGGTCTTTTATGAGAGCTCACATAGGAGCGGTGTTCGCTGAAATGAAGAAAGAAGAGAAAGAATTATCTCACCTCCACGCGGCAGGTGGGGTGCGGCACTAGGCCTGATGGTAAAAGAGATCGAGGAAAGAAGTCACCAAGTATTTATAGTATGGGGAGTGAGACCCTACAAACAATCGGGAATTAAGGAGGAATTAACTCCGACAATATATATATATATATATATATATATATGTGTGTGTGTGTGTGTGTGTGTACGTTGATGTAATAGGAACGAACAGATTGATGATCCAGAGTTCTTTACTATTTGGTTTTTTTATTTTTTAAAAAACAGTGCTCGATACAGAAGTAGAGCTTAAAATTATCATTATTTTATTTTTTTTTTTAAATATGATTCCATGGCGACACAGAAATTATTGTTTCGAAACTGGTCAACAAGTAGCAAAGTTTAAATTCCATATTAAACATTAACTTTAGATGAGCGTTTCATTGTCAAGCGATGTTTGGAATAATTCACCAAAGAAATGTTTTACTCATTTATAGTTTGGAAACGGACGTGTAATCTGGGGCTTCTTTTTCATTGCCACGGTGTCTCTGCTTTGATGAAAGTAGGAATGTCTATTATGTCAAATTTTTGGGTTTGGGGATTTTTATCTGGTTACAATGGCCTTTATTATCAGGCTCTGTTGTTTTATTACTATTTGCTAAAACTCACACTGATTGGTGTTCTACTCACAGTCTTTGGTGTTTTTTTTTTCGTTGATGATTTCTTAAAGGAGTGCTAAGATTATGATTGGGTTGTGTTTTAAAACCTATAGTTTTAATTGAATTTGCTAATAGATTTTATATGGTATTGTGTAAATATTTATTTATGGTATTGTGATCATTAATGTAATTCCTGTTGTTTTCAAATTATGATAGTAAAGAAAATCTATGCAAAAAAAAATAAATCCCAATGCACTTCTTTCCTGCTGCGCTTAAAAGCTGTTTGTGAAGAATGTGGCCAGGCCAAATCAAAGGTCATGTGAAAATGGCGTTCAAACATGAAACAGACTGTCCGTGTTTTGCCTCAGTGTCCCCTTCCCTCATATTGACAACATTTATTCTTAAATATAGCATCCATTAAAACTATATTTGTATTATATATATATATATATATATATATATATATATATATATTGGAATATATCTATATAGAAGACACATGATTTTCAACCAAAAGATAGCATTTGAATAGGCAAAGTGAAGTGGTGTGTCTACTGTTTATTTGAGTACATACATACATACATACATACATACATATATATATATATATATATATATATATATATATATATATATATATGTATGTATATAGAATATATATATATATGTAAAGATTTGATAAAAGAAGATCCCATCCACTTTTTAGCAAATCTTTATATCTATCTATCTATCTATATATATATATATATATATATATATATATATATATATATATATATATATATATATAAAGATTTGATAAAAGGAGATTGATAGTATGTATGGGAAAAATATTCAGATGGCAATTTCCATCTAAGTATTTTAGTTCGAAACTCGTTAGCTAGCTCGTTTTTCTGTTTTAATTCTTTATTATTATTTTTTAATTATTTTTTTTTAATTATTATCATGAGTGGTAATAAATATACATTTTGACTTTTCATTGCGGACATAGAAGTAGTCACCTCTAGAAGTGTCAAGTGAATTGCACAATGAATCTCCAACTGCAGGATATCTACCAACCGCCCCATGCGGTCAGATGTGGCACAAGGCCGAATTTAATGTGGGGTACCCGGGCCCGTGGGCTCATCCAGAAATTCCCTGTAGACCCCGTGGGTCAGGTAGCTGTTTCCTGAGACGAGACTCTGCCTTTCGACTTAGCCTCGTCTGGGGATCCTCTCTGCCCAGAGGTAGAGAGTTTGACCAGGACATCTAGAGACGAACCTCCAACTGCAGGATATCTACCAACCGCCCCATGCGGTCAGATGTGGCACAAGGCCGAATTTAATGTGGGTTATCCGAGCCCGTAGGCCCGGCCAAAAATTCGCCGTAGGCCCGGCCAAAAATTCCCCGTAGACCAGTATAAAACGGGGTCTGGTAGCTGTTTCCCGAGACGAGACTCTGCCCTTCGACAGCCTCATGTGGGATCCTCTCTGCCCAAAGGCAAAGAGTCTAACCAGCATAGCTAGTGACGAATCTCCAACTGCCGATGAATATGCAGTTTTTACTACAGTATTTATGTGAATGAGGACATACCTGTTATCCTCTGTAGGTGACTACAACTGACAGTAAGGACCTACGTACATCAAATTGTCTTTAAATTAAGTAACGGTTGAAGAATTATCGTTGAAATTTTAAATGGTAAGCTTAAATATTAGTGCAATACTTAAATGCAGCGATCAATTTTGAGTTCTTCTATAGTTTATTGTTGCCTATCGCATCTAATCCTCCCTATCTATTGTGGTGAAGGCCCAAAGTAGAGCCCTATTGGGCGGCTGTTAAGCTAGTATATATATATATATATATATATATATATATATATATATATATATATATATATATATATATATATATCTAATGAACGCTAGTAACATTGGTCTAATATGTTTGTGTAAGTGTTAGAATTTATGCTACCTCATATGTGAATAACCTTCCTGGCCCGGAAGACGACATGCAGCCCCAAACTATGATGCTCCCACCTTCAAATTTTACAGTTGTGGCAATACATTGAGTATCTTATGCTTCCCCATTCTCTGCGACGAAAATAAACAACTCCAAGGATTCCAAAAATAAAAATTTTAGGGAAAATCTTCTATTCAATAAAAATACAGTATTCATAAGCGTAATAAAATCAATTCTGCTCAATAAATTAATTTCAACTAATAAAGGAACTTACTTCAAAGTTGCTTTTATTAAACCAGACAACTTTGGTCCAATCTTCAAGCGTTCAATCTTCATGCTCTTTTGCAAAAGAAATTCTGTTTCTTCTTATTAACCTCAGACAGAAATTTTTTTTTTCTAGCTTTACATCATTTGAGGCCAGCTTGTACTAACCTTCTTCTCACGGTTCGAGTCGATATCATTTTGTTCCTCTCAAAATGCCGCAGTTACGTTAGAAGCGTCCCCCCACCTAGAGATACTCTCTTTAATGGCTGGTCTTAGTTTGTACACCTTTTTGACCATCACACTTTTTGAAAGAATTGGTTTTGTTATATCTTTTAATATTTGTTTGTACACCATTTTTTGAGCGTTTCACTTTTCTTGCAATTTTGACTTGGGATAGCTCTTTGAATAATGCAATGATTTCAGCTCTTTCAGTTTCAGAAATGTTTTCCTACGGAGATATTTTCAACAAAGAAGAAACATTTATAAATTGATACTAAAAATGTTAATAAAAAATAGAAAATATTTAGAAGTACAGATTAAATTTCAAATAAATGATTTTGCCACTTACGCTGAATAAATAAAAATGCACGCAAATCATTATTGGGACCAATAAACGCCAGTGAAACATCGATTCAAAAATGATTATTATAGTGTTTTCAGTTAATATGTGTACGAGGTTCAATCATTATTCTAATTTTTCTACAACTGCACCATAATTTTGCCCATGAATGTATATGGAAGGAAAAGTGAGTTAAACAGTGAATATTACTGTTGCTAATGCAAGACTCTTCCATAAAACGAATAAAGAACTTTCAATCATTGGCATGTTTATCTAAATATAAATACGATTAAATTCACATTCATCCCTGTCGTGCGCCGATGGCCTAGGAATAAATTATCTGACTGATAACAAATCGGTCGGGTTTTGATCCCGGCTTGAGGCAATCCTATGTCTAGCCACGCTGATGAGCTGTGAAACAGCGAAACAGCCTCTCTGTGGGTCACGATATATATATATATATATATATATATATATATATATATATATATGTGTGTGTGTGCATTATTAATATACCTATCTTTGTACTGCAACTTAACTCTGAGCACTGTTTTGTTTACACCTTATATTATATTGGCTTTTTCTTAATTCTTAACCAACTTTTAACCGTATTAACTACGAACACGGTCACAATATGCTAACCGTGTTCGGAAAATAAAATATCACTTTAATACTAAAAACATACATATAATGCACACAATTAAGCTGAAAAATTGAATCATCCTTGATAATGGCTACAGGTATAGCCGAAAGTGCTCGGAACTATAAAACATTTGGACAGTTTTTACACACTCTTTGTCCAGAAAAGAAAGCTGTTGTGAGAACACAAGAAAAAAATTAAATAAAAAGCTTAAACGTCGTACTTTGTCTGTCGTTTTTAATGAAACGTGCATCACTAAAGGATTGCTGCCTAAATACACAATATGTATGCGTGTGTGTGTGTGTGTCTAAATTAATGTTATGAATATAATGAATGCTATTCCTGCTGTTTTCGAAATATGTGATCTGAAAAAAAAAAGGTTTATAAAAAAAAAAAAACATTCCCAATACGCTTCTTTTCTGCTGTGTTTAAAAGCTGTGTATCCGAGTCTCAAATTAAGTGACAAGTTCTTTATTCGTGTGTTTATTCGGCGAAAATCTATGTGCAAGTCTCGCTCGCTATGTTTCGAAGCAGTCGAACGCTTTCCTTCGTGA